TGCACACACAGACACACACCCTAAAATAAATGCTATGCCCAAACGTAATTTGTTTCTACTAAAATACTATTTCTTCCCATTTCCGTCCCTGCAGAAAAGAAGCTGCAGACAGAAGAGAGAAAGGGCAAAAAGAAACACATATGACCAGAAAAAGTGGGGTTTTAGACTCACAACTGGAGAGAACGTTAGAATCCATCCATTGTAGCTCATGGCACTGGCCCAAAGCCATGCTCTACCTGCATAATGTTCTCTTTTAGGAAATAAAAGATAACATCAAAAAATAAACTTGAATTTTTTTCGTGTTTTTTTGGCCAGGCATGGTGGCTCACACCTGCAATCCCAGCACTTTGGGAGGCCGAGGCGGGCAGATCACAAGGTCAGGAGATTAAGACCAAGACCATCTTGGTCAACATGGTGAAAGCCCATCTCTACTAAAAATACAAAAATTAGCTGGGCGTGGTGGTGTGTACCTGTAGTCCCAGCTACTCAGGAGGCTGAGGCAAAAGAATCGCTTGAACCCAGGAGGCGGAGGTTGCCGTGAGCCAAGATCATGTCACTGCACTCCGGCCTAGTGACAGAGCGAGACTCCATCTCAAAAACAAATTTTTTTTCTTCTTCTGTGTATGAACTTTTTCTGGGCATGGGGGGTGGGATTAATCCTGCCAAAACAACTAATCCTTTAACATTTGAAAAAGAAAATAAAACTCTGCCCCTTTTTCAAACTGTTCAAAGATAAGAAAGATGCCTAGTATTTTCAAAGGTGCTAAAAAAAATCTTCGTTTGCTTTCTAACATCTGCTGTTTATCTTTAAGTCAGTTTTTGTTTGAAAACCTTGGGATTAAACCACTACATCAAGCTTTATTATGAATAAATAACACATCAAAAGTGACATTGTTTGCACAGTTGTGATTTAAGACAATTAGAGCTATGAATAATTGCAGAAAAGGTGGACCTCAAAAGTGAGAATCCTGAGCCTTGGTGTCAAAGGCCGGCACTGGACGTGGACAAGATTCCTTTAAGAACTTCTTCAAGTTGCAGAGGCAACTTCCAAATCACACAAAACAATCACAAGGTCCTAAGTGTACTAATACCATTAGTTACCATTTACTGAATGACTCTCCCAGATGCTGTCCAAGGCACTTTGTATTCTTAATTTAAAAAAAAAAATTTTTTTTGAAATGGGGTGTTGCTCTCTCACCCAGGCTGGAGTGCAGTGGTGCCATCGTAGCTCAAACTCCTGGGCTCAAAATGATCCACCTGCCTCAGCCTCTCAAGTAGCTGGAACTACAGGTGTGTGCTACCATACACGGCTAATTTTTTAATGTTTTGTGGAGACAGGGTCTTGCTATGCTGCCCAGGCTGCTTTCGAACTCCTGGGCTCAAGTGATCCTCCCTCCTTGACCTCTCAAAGTGTTAGGATTACAGGCTTTAGCCACTGTGGCCAGCCTATGTTCCTAATCTTACAAACTTACCCTTGAAAAGATTCTATGATAAGAAATCAACAGATCTAAGCATCACATATTTTGTGTAATTAGAAAAGGAGAGAAAAGAAAGAAATAAGAAAGAGAAGAGCCAAGTAAGGAAGTTGGACTTGGTTAAACCAAGTAAGTTTTATAAATGAAGGTTGAAGGGAAGCCCCGATGGATAACTCCAGAATTCCTTGGGCCTAAGGAGGGTTGGGAGGGAGGGAACGGGGAGTACAGGGACCAAGTGGGAATCTGCATCTGTGTATTAAGCACACTGTTTTTCTTAGATCAAATAGGCATTTGGGGGTGACATGGAAGCATGGGGTACAACCACCCATCCCTAAGCCAGCCCTCGGCATTGCCACCGGCCCAAAGCTCAAAAGGAAACTTCCGTCAAGATCATCCATTCAATAGTTACAATCAGATCCTTTGATTAGGAAAGAAAGTGTGCAAATAATTTTTCAAAAGCCAGTTTGTACCTTCATCATATATAACGTAGGCCTCTTCCGTGGGTACTGCAGTGTCGGTCTCCAAGCCTGAGAACTCATCTAGTGAAGACAGAGAAAAGGACCGGTCATCCAGGGCTCCTTCTCCATGGTTCTCTCAGAAGCAGGCCCCAGAGCGTGACAATTCATTCACCTCAAGCAGGTCATGAAAACAAGTCCCCCAGGCCAGAGTCTCCACAACTTTTTCAGGAGGAAAATCATCAAAGCACTGACATGGAACCCAGACTTTCTCTCCTTTGGGCCCAGGAAAGGGTGATACAAATGCCTGCCCCGTCAGGAGCAAACACCCCGCTCCACATTCCCAGATTCCTCAGCACCCCCAAGCTCTCTCTCACCTCCCTCCTACCACCTCAGCCCACCCGCCTGCCTGCCTGCAGGGCTCTGATGCTGAGGGAAGTCCCCTGGCCCCTCATGCCACAGCAGGCGCTCTTAGGAAGCAGTCACGAGAGAGAGAGAGGAGAGTGGGCGGTTGGTGCTCAGGATGGTGACAAAAAGCCCCTCATGTGTGAACTCCCTTGTTCATCAGTCTTCATTCCTCCACCCCCTCCACCTTGCCTCTGGAATATTCAAGAAGCAGAGTAATTTCCTATCTCATCTACATCCCAACTTGGCAAACTCTACCAATGACAGTTCCCTGTGCTTCTCCACTTCCTACTGACTACCCACCCTCTCTTACCGACTCGGGAGATAAATCAGATTTCCTAATTTGCAGAGGAAATTTGGAAAAATATGCCAATCATTGCAAATTTCTCTTTACAGACAGATTGGGTTGTACTAACCGATAGGTCTATTTTGACTACAGAATTATACTTTAAATGTAATACAAAATTTCAGATGTGATTTTTGGAAAAGCCAGGAAACCCTAGTTAGAAGAACTATTACAATTCCTGTAATGACTAAACCAATATTATGAGCATAAGTAACTTGTGAAAAGAAAGGTGAGTGATTTAAGCATAAAAGGCATCTTCACCTCCATTATCAGGGTAGTTTAAGCAGAACTCTTTTGGAAAAGGTGTAACGGAATCGATTATACTATTTCTCTACTTGGGGTATATAGATGCAGCTGTAAAAAGGAGAACATCTCACTGTAGCTGATAAAATCTTGAGTCAAAAGGTTTTATAGCTCAAAAAATAATTGTAAGGAATTACTTTCCTCCCTTTGACCTGAAGCCCACAGCAATTATATAGAACTCTCTAAACTTAATGCACCATTAAAAGGGGGCAAGGTGGGGAAAAGAGGAAGAAGTGACTAGTGGATGGCTCCAGATACCTTCTCTGTATCAGCCACTTTTATGTATAGATAATTCCACAACAAACCCTTGAGATACATTGAGCTTATAAATACCCACTTCTCAGCTGATACGGTTTGGCTGTATCCCCACCCAAATCTCATCTTAAATTATAATCCCCATAATACCCACATGTCCAGGGAGGGATCTGGTGGAAAGTGATTAGATTATGGGGGCATTTTCCCCCATGCTGTTCTCATGATAGTGAGTGAATTCTCATGAGATCTGATGATTTTCTAAATGGTAGTTTTTCCTGCACACTTGCTCGCGCGTTCTCTCTCTCTCTCTCTCTCTCCCCCTCTCACCTGCCACCATGTAAGATGTGCCTGCTTCCCCTTCTGCCACGATTGTAAGTTTTCTGAGGTCTCCCCAGTCATTTAGAACTGTGAGTCAATAAAACCTCTTTCCTTTATAAATTACCCAGTCTCAGGTAGTATCTTTATAGCAGTATGAAAACGGACTAATACATCAGCCAAGGACACCAAGGCTCTGGGAGGATTTACAGCACGCCTGAGACATGCAGATGGTAAAAGACAGCAAAACCAGAATGTGAACTTCAAGTACTCTGGCTCCAAAGACTACTTACTTTATACTTCATAAAACTGCCTCCACTTCTTAAAAGTTGAACTAACCAATAAAATTATTTGTCGATGTGAAGATGCTCTATTAGAATCACCATTCTACAGTGCAATGAAGGGGAAATTGAAGTAGAAGGTATATAAACTCCTGTGTCATTATTCTACCAGACTCTTCAACCTAGTTTGAATGACATGAATATTACATTGTAAAAACAAACTCCACCCACAAAGGGCAATGGCAGCCTCGAGTGGTCTGTCCAGCCCTCCTGGGATCACCGTAAGAACTCCCAGCTCCTATTCCGAGGCCCAAGAGATGGTCCTTGAGGCAATGACTCTGGTGTGTTCTGATTCAGCCAATGAATATTAAGCAGAGAGAAGTTGTAAATTATCCATCCGTTTAGGGGTGGAATGGTCATTTCATGAAAAACTATTAAACACAAACTTTCCTTCGGTCATTCCAATGTCAATATGCCTGGGATCCAAGACAAATTACTTCTGAGCTTGTTCAAATCAGTTTTCAGGTTCACACCCTGTAAAGTTTGGGATTATCTTGCCATTGTTTCCTGGCCTACCATTTTCTTTCCCTTGTCAATTTAACCTTTAGGAATATCGTCTTGCTTTTCCTCATTATCAGTTCAGTGTCATTTCTTTTCATTATTGTTTTTGGCCAGATCAAAAATGAATACATGGTGAAGTTTCTGCATCCCAGGGTGAACAAGAAAAGGGAAAGGTACACCATTTCCCTCATGGACTCTGGTGTTACGGGTAACTCCATGAGGTGCTGAAATACTCCAGTGCATGTAGCAGGCTACAGAAATGATGCTTTTACCGGCAAATGAGTTCACTTCCTGAGATGAGTGACAGTTAAGTCCTCTGGCATTAAGTAAACAATCTACTAAGTGATTTTAGTGTTCTTTTTCTTAAGACCAAATAAACTCAGGCATAAATTTTCTAAAACAGAACCATCTTGACTCCAAGTAAAAATAACTTCCAGATGTAATGAAATATATTTACAATTAAAAAATTTAAAAAAAAAGTTGACCACCTTACTTTGGCCCACCTGAATGCCATTTTAAACTATTCAGAACTATGTAAAACTGGGTATTTTACAAGCCAACTCAGCACCAATGTAAAAAGCTTCAGCCACTTCACATAAACACATTTGCCAGTCATCAACCACAGCAGTGTCGTTTATTCTCTTCAGTAGTTTATCAAGTAGCCATGAAAAAAATAAGTGAAAAATGTCACCAAAGAAGGAAGGCCTTTGCTCCAGAGATATTAAAAAATATTTTTTAAAAATTATTCTCAGTAGAAGTTTAGAGACAGAAGGTAAATGACAGCTATTTGAAACCCAAGGATATTTGCACACTGTACAGTTGGTCCAGCTCAAATGAATGTTTGCATTTCTCAATATTTTCTATCTGGAGACCCAGCTATGGTAGGGAAGGTCTGTTTTCTGTAATGACTGATGTTTTTCTGCAGCCTGTAACAAGGTCATGCTACAAATTCTTGACGGTGTTCATCTGGCTTATCACATTCCGTGTACACCCTCTGTCATCAGATTTGCTGTAGATACAGAACCTGGAAAACAAACAAACAAAAAAAAAGCACTGGCTTTTAGGACATGGAGAATGCCTATACCTTAAGGTCTTGCTTGGATATCCAAAGGTATGTACTTAGGTACCACAAGGAATTCGAGATGAAGCAGAAGACATTGTCTCAACTGCATGGAGTTTATTATCCAACGGAGAAGCCAGATCAAGCAGAACCAAACAAAACAAATGTTCGAGGCAGCATTATTCATAATAACAAAAAAGTGGAAATAACCCAAATGACCACTGACCGATGAATGGAAAAAATGCTGTATATCCATACAATGGAATAAAAAGAATGAAGTACTGATGTATTCTATAATGTGAATGAATCTTGAAGGCAATTATGCTAAGTGAAAGAAGCTAGACACAAAAAGCCACATATGACATGATTCCATTTATACAAAATGTCCCAAATAGGTAAATCCATAGAGAGAGAAAGTACATTAGTGGTTTCCAGGGTTGGGAGGAGGGAGGAATGAGGGTTGACTGCTGATGAGTACGGAATTTCTCCTGGGGTGATGAAAATATTATGGAATCTAACAGTGGTGATCATTGCACAACTGTAAATATATTAATATCCACTAAATTTAGAAGAATGAACTTTATGGCATATGAATCTTATCTCAACAGAGCTAGTATTAATACATTTTTAAAATTTAATTTCTTTTTTTAATTTTGTTTTTAAGTTCTGGGGTACAGGTGCAGGATGTGCAGGTTTGTCACATAGGTAAAATGTGCCATGGTGGTTTGCTGGACAGATCAACCCATCACCTAAATATTAACCCCTGCATGCATCAGTTATTTTTCCCAACGCTCTCTCTTCCCCCACCCGACCCTCTGACAGGCCCCATTGTATGTTGTTCCCTTCCCTGTGTCCACATGTTCTCATTGTTCAGCTCCCACTTATAAGTGAGAACACAAGGTGTTTAGTTTTCTGTTCCTGTGTTAATTTGGTGAAGATAATGGCTTCCAGCTCCATCCATGTCCCTGCAAAGCACATAATCTCATTCCTTTTTATGGCTGCATAGTATTCCATGGTGTATATGGACCACATTTTCTTTATCCAGTCTATCATTGATGGGCATTTGGGTTGATTCCATCTCTTTCTTTGCTATTGTGAATAGTGCTGCAATGAACATACATGTGCATGTATCTTTGTAATAGTAAAACTTTAATTTCTTATCACAAAAAATGACCACTTTCATGGTGAGTGTTCTTACCACAAATAAAGAGAAAAGAATAATACTAACAATAAAGGAGTGGGAGTTGGAGGGAACTTTGGAAGGTGATGGATGTGTCTGTGGCCTTAGCAGGATGATGATTTTGTGAGTGTATTCTTATCCCAAACTCATCGACGTGTATGGATTAAATATGCAGAACTTTCTCTATGCCAATCATACATCAAGAAAGTGGTTTAAAAAGATTAAAAGATAAAAATAACTATGATTACAGTCAATAAAGAAGAAAATGTTTAATGAAGTTCTTAGTGAAACAGTAGAAATAAGAAAGGCCATATGGAAATCATTTTAAACTAACAAATTATAGTGCATTAAAATGTGATATAAGGATGATACATTGCTGTCCCCACATTTAACTTTTCCCTAAGACTTTGTATTGATTTGTACTTATTTTCAAATGCTGTCCAGAGGAAAACTATTCTTTAGCTTGGACTAGGGAATCAGGAGACTGGACAGGAGTGAACATATATGTGTCATGATTTGCAAAGAAAATAAGAGACAAAATTGCCAAGAAAAATATTGACTTTCATGCTAAATAAAAGTCCAAAAATACAAAGTAAATGAAGGGAACATGTTAGAAGGCCTAAATAAAAGCAGACAAAATAAAACGTGAAATAATAGCAACAGTAATTAAAATCAAATCCAAAATAGTCCATTTTTGTTTACAACCAATTATTAAGTAATTATGTTTTAATTCTATTTCACCCTTTAAAATTAAACACATGAATGCATGCAGAAGTCAGATGTTAAGGAAAGCAACATCATATTTTAATACTAGAAATTCAAAGGTAAATTCAAATTTGTACTCACTGGGTCAATGGACAGAGTAGAAATTTTCTTCCCATTGTTCCTCTCCCTCTGTATGTTTCCATGTTTCTTTGGTGTGGAATTTTTAGATGTGTCAAGTTTTCTTGTTTCTTTGGAACTTCTTCACAGAAAGACTAACTTCCAACAGAATTCCCATTTTGGATACAGTATTCATGTTCAAACTGATTGGGCTTATCATGGTCAATAATGCGGCACAAGAATTCCAGACTTGATTCCTGAAAGGAAATGTCTTCACTCTGCCTTGGTTTAAAAAGACTTAAGCTTTACAGTTGACATTGCAATTCATTTCAAACTGAGGGAAAGAAGATGAATCTATCTCCTCCACGGCTGATGCAAATCTAGAATGACTTCTTCCAAGGCAGCTTGAGCAGGGGACTGAGCAGAAAGGATGGAGACACATTGATATATGGGCTCCACGACGACCCGGATAAAGGCGTCCTAGCTCCTGCTCTTCAGGGAGAACAAGCCACTTTCAGAAGGAAGACAGACTCACATCAGGGGCGGCAGGATAGTGCAGATCAGCAAAGAAGGGAAAATGCTGCATTCTTACCCAGTGGAAAGCCCACACTCCCACAGGAAGCCCAGCCACATGAGGATTAGAATTCTCCAAAGGAGGGCTGATCAAAAAAGTGCCCAGCTGCCAAACATGCTGGGGAAACATTCCTTTTCTTGGAGATTCTCAACAAGACTATTCAGTGATCTAAGTGTTACAACAGTAAGAAATTTATCCAACCTTGTTTAAATCACATAGCTAATCACAGAACCTTTTAAGTATATACATATATATTACAATCACTAATCTACAATATCCATTGGAACACACTTTGGGAAATGATAGCCCAAACAAATAATGTCACAAGTTTCAGCTAAATTCTTGACTTGGGTTGTGATAAGCGCTGCCAGGTAAACACAGGATGCCCAGTTAAATCTGACTTTAAGTCAACAAGAAATAATTTTTTCATATAAATATGTCCCGTGCAATATTTTTATTTCCTAAGTCTTCCAACCTTAGCTGTGGCATGGTACTGTCAGACAAACCTGCTGGGACCAAAAATGTATCAGGTTGCTGCTTTGCTGTGCGTGGTGCTCATCCCTCCCCTGCAGGCTCTGCCACCCTGCTCTGAGCTGCGGCGTGCTAGTGTGCGTGATAAGTGGTTAGCATTAGAACAAAGCCAGTTACCTTCTTCAGTGTAGCACTCTGGGATCCCATTGGAGCTCATTATCAGGTTACCATCATTGTCGTGCCGTTCCAAGGTCCCAGGGGGACAGGTGGGGATGGGAGTGGTGGGTTTGGGGGTGGTGGTGGTGGTTGTCCGCGTAGTGGTTCGGACTGTGGTTGTTGGGCGCCTGGTGGTCGTGCGACGGGTGGTGGTTGTGCGGCGGGTGGTGGCGGTGGTGGGCCGCTGGGTTGTAGTGGTAGGCAGGGGCGTCGTCGTAGTGGTAGGCCGTGTGGTAGTGGTAGGGGGATGGGTGGTTGTTTTGATGACCTCCAAGCCCACCAGCGGCTTTCCTCCAAGACTCAAAATTGGCTTATCTTGGGCACTGGCCAGAGGTGTGCCATGTCGCCCCTGCCCAAAGAGTGGGAGGCCGTCAGGACTCACCACAGGGGTCCCTTCCAGATCTGAAATAAAATCAACCAATAGCTATGCAACGACGTGAAACAATCCAGAAAAAATAAAAAGCAAGCAATAAGTGTCTTCTCAAAGCTTATGTATTATCATGTTTTAATCAGTAAAAGGCAAAGGGATAAATGAATATTGCATCAGTATGCTCCACGATCCTGAGATAACTCTCGTATCTAGCAAAGGAAGAAATACTTTCCTTTGCCTCATTCCTATGCTTAAGGGGGGAAAGTGTTACTTTGGATTAAAGGTGGAAAACTTCTGTAAAGGGCCAGGAAGCAAATATGTTAAGCCTTATAGGCCAGATGGTCTCTGTTGCAACTACTCAATCAGCTTTTAGAGTGCAAAAAAGAAGATAGACAATAACAGCACATAACAAATGAGTTAGACAATGCATAATTAAGTGAGTGTATTGTGTTCCAATAAAACTTTGCATATGGACACTGAAATGTGCATTTCATATAATTATCATGCCACAAAATATTCTTTTTTCTGGCAATCATTTAAACATGTAAAAACTATTCTGAGCTCATAGTAAGTCTTACAAAAACAGGTAGTGGGCTACAACCTACAGGTTGTAGTTTGTGGACCCCTCCTCTAAAAGGGCCAATTTAAGAACAAATTAAAGGGCCACATTTTCTAGAGGGTGCAGCCTGCAGGAAGAGAACTAAAGCTGTCTGGGGGAAACACCAAGTTCTGCCTCTTTTGAGGCTCTTCTTCTCACATTGGTAAAAGTAACCAAACCAAGAGCAATCATTGTAAATGAGGGGGAGAAGGAAGATAGAAGCTGTAATTCTATAGCTAATTCAGTAGGCTTTTATTCTTTAAAAACCGTTCTCACTTACCCACAATGGTTCGACCATCTCCTCCTAGTTTAATCCGAAGAGGATTTCCATGTGAATCTTGGAGGTACCTTCCTTCTGCATTCAATACTAACCCACGATCAAGGTCCACAACCTAAATCCATGACATAGATTAAAGAATATATTGGACATTTTGAAATGGTCACATGAGTCCAACTATATATGTGCATACACCTGAAGCTTCCACAGAAGGAAACCATAATATGAATAGAAGACATTATTTTTGTCAATATGATTCATAAAGTCTTAAAAAATACAGTACGAAGCAGTCATCTTTCATATTATAATTGCTTACCCATGTAATATGTAAATTGTTTTAAGTTTCTCAAATCACAAAAGATGTTCAAAATATTTTTACCATCAAGTACATTGTGTCTAATGCTGGAAGGAAGGAAACAATGTGTCTCTCAGTTGAGGGGAGAGATTAAATAATTTGTGGCCCATCCGCATGGTAGAATATTATGCAGACAATTCTACATACATTCTACATACATGTGAACTCAGATTACAGGGCTGATTATTTTGCAAAAATAAAAATATATCCATTTGCATATATAAGCTTAAAACTGCAGAGAAAAAAATTATGGAAGGTTATACTGCAAATGGTCAACAGTGGTTATCTTTGAGAAGTAGTTTGGGTGAGGAATGTTTATTTTCTGTTTCATATATTTCAATACGAATTGTTTTAACTTCTTGCAATGAATGTGAATTGCTAGCATGTTAAAGACATAAAATCTTTCCATTTTGCTGTTAATGTTAAAAATCAAAGTTGCTATAACAAAAACAATATAATTTGTAATCATGTTGCCTAATATAGTATGCATGCAAAAAAATGTCTCCTTCTGAGGAACTGTAAAACTTGAAGAAAGCTATAATTATGTTTATTAAGGAACAAGCTCATGCTTTTTGCTGGTGGTTCTCAAAGCATGGTCCTGGACCTGAAGCCTCAGCATCACATAGGAACTTGTCAGATACTCAAATCTCCCAGCCCTACCTGAGACTGGTATTTGACAAAATCCTCAGTGATCCTGAGCTGGCTTAAGTTTGAGAACCACTGCTTTGCACACTCAGGCTACTGGAGGAAGCCCTACAAGCAAGTCACTTTGGTGGATGCTGTTTTGGCATTGAAATAAAATTTATATAAATACTATTTTGAAATCTACCCCATACTGTTTCCATTCAAAATTGTTTACAATAGCATTTTGCTTTAATGTACATTCTTCCTCCTATAAATTTCTCTTCCTTTAAGAAATGATAACATGCATCTTTAGATCCCCTATGACTGAAAATGTCATAGTCTTTTAGTACGTTTCCCTAAACCTTATCATTATAAATGGGAAGTCTTTATTGGGAATTATAGTATAAATACTTTTTTTATTCTTAGAAAAAGTACTTTAAATTCCTGAATATTGTAAAGTGTTCTATCTATTACCCTCAACCCACCAAAACCTCCTAAACATTTATCTTAACCCCAAGCAATTAAAGCTGTTTAGACATACATAAAGTACTAATAAATAATTTTAGTCCAACAATTGTTGGAAGATTCAAAAGATGATCTAATAAAAATCTCCAGTATCATTCAGGGTTTTTTGTTTATTCGTTCATTTTTACCCTGTGTCCTTTTAGAAAGGATTTGAGATGACTTACAGAAAATATGTGTAATGTTTAATCAAACAATAAACAAAACCTAAAAATAAAAATAAGCTACCAGGACAGGGAAAATATAAGTTCCTTTGAATGGCCATCCATTGGGTCTATAATTGCTATGGTTGGGCCTTGCATTCATTTGACCTTCCTAACCAGTTGAAGTAAATGAAAAAGAAAGGCCCATACCTTATCTTGGCTATGAGAAAAAACAAGCTAGTTACCAGGAGAACCAAAGATTTTTCCAAGTATTAAAAGAAACTCTATACAAGTACGTATGAGTAGTTAAAACTAGAGGAGAAGAACAAACAAAGGCCACTTCATTTATGATTACACAATGTCCACCATTTTTCTCTTCTCAACAGCATGAAAACAACGGGTATGTGTAAAGAAGTTTACCCTACCCACTTTGTTCCTTGAGGGCCATTGATAATTCTCTGTCCATTCGGTTTTCCATTACTACCAGGAAGGACTTTCCCTTCTACATTTGGTCTGCCATTATAACCTACACAGTACCAAAAATAAAAATAACAGAGCCTGGTAAATTCAACATGCCCGGGAAGTTGGCTTCATACCAAACTATAAGTAGTAACACATCATTTCAAATAGAAACTCTAAACAGAATTTTAAACCAGTAGCTCAAATATATTAGATAATGATAGTCTCAAATTATGACTTCTCCATAACAGATCTGGATGTCAATTAAGAATACAGTAAAGTCACAGCTTTCTGACAATACTGTGAGAATGAGAGTGTGTGGCATAAGTAAATTTGCCATAGAAAACGTAAGACCTTGGTAGCTGTAGCTTTATTTTAGCCATGTGGAAGTTGGAGGAAGGAAGGGTTGGAAGGACAAAGAAAATTATGTCTAAAATGTACTAGACGCTGTCCCATTTTTTTTAGGCATGTTAAACTAAACACAGCTATGCCCAGCTGACTCAGGTCCCAATCACCAATCACCAAATATAAATGCACAATGCTGTCTCAAAGCTTGCTGAATGCTGTGGGGCTGCTTGAGAAGTATTTGCTCAGACAGTAAGAAGACCCAGCAGCACCCTTACAGTTGTTTGTCTGTCTCTGCCTCACACGGAGATGTTTCTTATCAGCTCCAGTCTGCTCTGGTCCAGCCTTGACTCCTGGGCAAAGGGCTTGGACTTTCTGACCGCTACTTGCAGGGCAGACATTTATTTCTCTCATTCCTTCATTTATTTATTAAATATTTATCGAGTTCCTACTATGTACAAGGGAACGTTGAGTTTTACATCTATTATCAGGGAGGTGGGTTTGACTAAAACAGCCAATCTTAGTGGAAAACTGAGTTTGATATGGGGCATTGTTCTGTGTTTACATTGGGCTAAAATAACAATGCATTGTACAGATCAGCAAAAAAAAATTCATTCAAGAACGTTCTACAAAGCCCCAATTACACACAAGAAGAGTTTAAAGCACCATTTAACTGAATGCAATTTTATGGTACATAAAAAAAACCTCAGACCCTGCCCTGGACATAAACTCCTGTTCATAGCTGACTTCGTTCAACCCTCTGTTATAGAAATACAAAGCACACATCTGCCTGTAACTCCTCTTTGTGACAACAATCTTTAACATGCATTTTCTGGAGGTTTTAGACAACATTCACTAATTGCACTGTCTGAGCAATTCATACCCAAGATATTTGAGTTCATCTCAGGGTTTGTTTGGTTGAGAGTTTCGCATGCAGAAGATGAGAACAAGATAAGAACAAGAACAAGATATGCCTACACAGGTATCTAACCAGCTACTATGGATCCCTTAAACACATGAGGGCGCATGAACAACTAAGAAGCAGCTAAGTTGGGCATCACGGTTGTGACACATTTTCACAGGTTAAGACTGTATGCCAAGGAATTCAAAGAGGCAACGTAGGACAGTGAAATGACTATAGAATTAGAGGCAATGTGGGTTAGTAATGGCTGTGAAATTAGGCCATTTGGGATTGGAATGGCAACTCTGAGCTGTCTGCCTTAGGACAAGTCCCTCAGATCCTGAGCCCCAGCTTCCACAT